CTCAACTGGTGCAGCTTACACAATTGTGACTGAAAAATTAGTTGAGCATACTTTCTCCTGGAGAGGTGCTGAAACTGTCGAGCACAGATCAGGTACAGACAAGGACAGAGTTTTCAATGGATTTTTTTAAAAAAATTACCAGATGATGTGCGCACTTGCCTGAAAGAGACAGAAAGAGGGGGATAAAACACTCCTCAAAAGTGGCATGGTCATATTGTGGTCCCCTCTCCATTACTCCTTTCTGTCAAGATTTCAGGCATGCACACATGTGTCCAGGATGTTTTGCAAGTCACTGAGACTAGGATTCCAACTGCAGTCAGCCATGTGGGATCTGATTCCCCTAATGACTGAGCTATAGGGTTATCCTTCAAGCACTTTTAAACTTTACTTTCAGTTATTACAAGATGATCTGGACTCATTGTATGTATTTCCTGCCCCAGTACTAGAATTGGCCTTTTCTCCAAGGAGTCCTGTTTGCTTGCTTGTTTTCTTCCTCCCTCCTTCCCTCTCTCTTTCTTTCATTTTCTCTTATTATTATTTTTAATTGGAGTATTGGTATGAGAAACTAAGATGTGGGTACTAAGTATGCTTAATCTGTAACAATTCTTAAAGTAACACTCTAATGGATTTATAACTAAAAAAAGGTGAATTCCTTTCCTACTCCTTCCCATAAAACATAAAATTTTGTGAGCTTTTCTTCTTGTTTTTGCCTCCATATTAGTAAGTGTGCAGATGCCAGTATTGTTTCAGTAATTTGAAATACTATGCACTGTCTACTTGTAAAAGTGAATAGGATTTGTTTTTCTTGCACTCCCCACAAGTCATTCCCATTCACTCATCTTCCCAATGTAGTCAGATGTTTTTTGTGTTAGCCAGGAGCCAGAATTTATATTATTATAACCATGTAACAATTTTTCCCATTTGGCGGATGTACTATAATTACACTCCCCCCCTCCCCCCAATTTCCAGAGGTGCATGTACTTACCATAGAGAGATAGAGGAAAGAAAAGAGAGAGAGGCAGCTAAGCGGGGGGAAAGACAGCACACTCCAATGGAGTGTAGTCACACCATAATCCCCTCTCCTCCATTTCTCAAACCCATTGGGACTTTGGCCATGCAAACACACCACCAAGTACATTCCTCAAGCCACCAGACTGGGACTTGAACTACAGTCAGCCATATGGGATCCACTCCATTAACTACTCGGCCACAGGGCAGCCCCACGTTTCCTTTGGTACAAAATTTTATCTTTTTTGGTTGATATTTAATCAATTTTGAGTTGCCTTTGTTAATAGTGAGAGATAAGTACTTAGTTTCATTTTTCTGCAGGTGGAAATTTAGATTTTCCAGCACCATTTGCTGAAAGATATTTTTTCTTCACTGGATCATCTTGTTCCCTTTGTCAAAAGTCAGTTTACCATATGTGTTAGGATTTATTTCTGGATTCTCTATTCTGTTCCATTAGTTTATGTGTCTATTTTTGTGCCAGTACTATGCTGTTCGGTTATCACCGCTTTGTAATGTATTTTGAGATCAGGTAGTGAGATGCCTCCTATCTTATTCTTTATGCACAGTATTGCCCAGGTGATATAGGGGTCTTTTATGACTCCAGAAAATTTTTATGATTGTTTTTTATATTTCTGTAAAGAGTGTCACTGGTAATTTTATAGGAATTGTATTGAATTTGTAAAATAATTAGAATAGAAGTGACTTTTTAATTATATTGAGTCTCCGAATCCAAAAACAAGAGATAACTTTGTATCTTTTTAAAATGTATTTCTTCAGTTTTTCACAGATTTCCTTGTAAAAGTCTTTTACCTACTTGGTTAGATTTAGTCCCAAGTTTTTTTTGCTTTGTTTGTTTGTTTGTTTTTATTTTTTTAGTATGTGTTTTGTTCAACTTGATGGCTATTGTAAATAGAATTGCTTTCTTCAATTCTGCTTTAGTCCATTCATTGTTGGTATATAAAGAATATGAAAAATGCTTATGTCAATGTTGTATCCTTAAACTTTACAGAATTCATTTATCATTTCTAGGAGTTTTTTCATGGAATCTTTTGGATTTTTCTATGTATATAGTCAAGTCATCTGCAAATAGGGACAATTCACTATTTCTTTTCTATTTTTATTTTATTCTCTTGTCTGATTGCATTGGCTACAACTTCCAGTACAGTGTTGAAAAGGAGTGGAGAAGTGTACAACCTTGTCTAGTCCCAGTTTTAGTGGAAGCACTTTCAGCTTTTTCCTATTTGGTATGATGTTAGCTATGAGTTTGTCATATATGGCTTTTATTGTACCGAGAAATGTACCTTCTATACATATTTTGTTGAGAGTCTTAATTATGAAGGGGTGTTGTATTTTATCAAATTTATTTTCTGCAAGAACCAATATGATCATTTGGTTCTTGTCTTTCCTTCTATTAATATAATGTATTACATTTATTGCTTTGCATATGTAAAACTATCCTTACATTCTTGAGATAAAGCTTACTTGCTCATGGTGTATACTCTCTTTAATGCGCTGTTGGATTAGATTTGACAGTAAATTGTTGAGAAAGTTTGCATTAGTATTTGTCAGGGATATTGGTCTATAATTTTCTTCTTTTGGTTATGTCCTTGTCTGCTCTTTGTATCAAAATGGTGGATGCATCATAGAATGAGTTTGGGAGGTTCCTTCCTTTTGGACCTTTAGAAATAATTTGAGAATTGGTGTTAATTCTTTAAAAGTTTTAGAAGGGAATCTAGTAATGAAACTACTGGGACATAGGCTTTTCTTGTTAGAAACTATTTATTACTAATTCAATCTTATTTCTTTTTACTGGGCTATTCAGTCTTTAAATTTTCTTCATGGTTCAATCTAGGTATAATGTGTGTGTCCAGAAATTTGTTGAACTGTTCTAGATCTTCCAGTTTGTGTATAGTTGCTTGTACTATTCTCTCATGATCTTTTGTATTTCTATGCTGTCTTTTGTAGTATCATCTGTTTCATTACTGATTTTGATTCCTTTCTCTGTTTTTCTTGGTTGATCTAGCTAATGATCTGTTGGTTTTGTTTATCCTCTCAGTAGAACAGCTCTTTGTTTCATTGATCTTTTGAAATTTTTTATTCTATATTTTGTGTTCTTTTTCCAGCTCTAATCTTTATTATTTACTTTTTTTTTGAAAGAGATTTTTGCTATAGGGTGCATGCACTTGGTGGACAGGCAGAGAGAGACAGAGAGACAGAAAGAGAGAAATCAACCCCCTCCCCAGGGAGGATAGCTACACCTCAATCCCTCCTCCTCCATTCTCCTCTTGGAATCTTGGGCACACATGCACAGGTGCCTGGCATGAGTTTTAAGCTTCTGGGTCTGGGACTTGAATCGTGGTTGACTACATGGGAGTCTAGCAACGTAATTTTAAGATATAATAATTAATCATTGGGTTTGGAATCAGGAAATTCTAGGCTTGAACCTGTTTCTAAAACTTTTTAGCTGTGAGTATTAAGTAATTTATTTAATATTCTAGGCCTCAGTTTCTTTATATATTAAATGGGAAAATAATATGTTTCTTCTTTGTGAGAATTAAATGGTACGTCTATGTCACTTAGCAGAGTGTCTGGCATGTAATTAAGCACTTAGTAAATAATGGTAATAAGATAAACCTGTTTTAGAAAACACATCTGAGGGGACCAGCAGTTAGTGTAATGGCTATGTCGCTGGACTCCCATGTAGTCATCCGTGGTTCGAGTCCCGGACCTGGTGGCTTAAACTCATGCCGGGTGCATGTGCGTGTGTGCCTAAGATCCTGAGAAGAGAATGGAGGAGAAGGGATTGCAGTGAGGCCATCTCCCCGGGGGGGTGATTTCTTACTTTTTGTCTCTCTGTCTTCCTGGTGAAAGCATGTGCCCTCAAAAAAACAAAACAAAACAAAACAAAACAAAACAAAAATAACCCCACATCTGACTGGTCATCATTGGTCATTGATTTGATTCCTCTTCTAACTCGTTCTGTGGTACAATGTGGATTTATCATCGAATCTATAGAATCCTAAAGGGTCATAAATATCATCTGGTTCAGGTCTTGTAATCTGGTTTATGAATTTTCTTTTATGTTTTTAAGGTCTATTTATTTATTTCTTCCATGACAGAGATGGAGAGACAGAGGCAGAGAAAGATATAGGCATCCCCAACAGAGTTCCCCAATGCCATGATCCATGCCTACCCTCCACCAGCCATGGATACATCACGGCATTTGCATGCTCTGTGAAGTCAGGGAGATTTCTGGATATGAGCTCAAAACCTTCCCATATTGGTCAGTGTCACAGAGTACTGCATTTTACTGCAATTTCATATGGCCCCATATGAATTATCTTTTGTGCTCATCTCATTAAGTGGTTTGACTAATGAGTGGTGGAACTTAACCTCGACGTTGGGTCTTCTTGTTGACTGAGCCTGTATGTTTCCTCTCTTGTGCCTCCTCTTTTCATTCTCGATAAGCAAATGGTATTTTGGCTTATGTGATTGATGGCAACCCTGCTTTCTTTTCTCCATTATTAGGGCAAGGGAGTTGGGAGTCAGAATGAAGAACTAGAGTGGGAACAGAGCCACATTCCAGACTAAATTTCTGGCGGCCCCATGAGGAGTCCACATGTAAATAATTGCCAGTGTAGAGGGTTAATTTTAGAGTTAATTTTTATCACAAGCTGTAGAGCTGTTGGGATGACTGTGGCACACACAAGTCACACATACACACGCACACAGACACACACATGAATGCTCATGCACATACAGGAAATTCCAACTATCTCTATGGACAAAGAGGTACATGAACACCCATGCCATCACTACACATACTTGTATGCACAAGTCCCTTTTGACAGGAGAAAGTGCTCAGCACATTTTATCATACATCCTAAATTGAGGGAGGCCATTCAGGATAGGGAAAAGGGAAGATTGCGAGTCAAAAAGAGATATGAAACTAAAAGAGCACACTCTGTCAGCATTAATTGGGGTATAAGAAATGAACTCTGAACAGACAGAAAGACTCCTTAGTTCTGTCAAGAGTCAAAATGTCCAAGGGACCTTTCATCTTGTGGGTGATGCTTGAACTTGGACAGCTTTATCTGAGTAAGTGTTCTGGAGCCTTCCAGTTAGGAGTCCCTGAAGGGCTTGTTATGGTGTAGTAGATTTCTGTGCACTGACGTGGGCTTCAGGAAAGCCAAAACCCATTTCATTTCTGCATCTCTTCTCCCTCTGCCAGCCTTTCTTCTTTGGAGGGTCTCTCTCCTGCCTTGTTAAGCAAGGGTTAATCCACACAGTGGTTTGGGGATTTTAGGATAGGGGTAATTTATTCTTATCTTGAAAAATGGCAATTTAAGAAGAGACACAGAAATAAGAGGTCAGATAAAAATGGGAAAAAGAAAGGTCCTCTGCGGGTGGAATTCTCCAACAAAGTTGGGGGATTTGTTCTAGTTAGAACTCTTTTGTTCTTTATGTTTTCAAGAGTGTTTGGGTTTGTCTTTTGTTTTGCTGGAGATGTAGAAGGTGAGGATTCTTTTCTGTACATTGTTTCTAGGGTTTGGATTCTGCAAATGTACACACTCAGTTTTGACCAGTAAAGACGTTGGCATCCTGGGGCTATAGGGCAAGATGCTCTGGCCTGAGCTATGACTGCATCTCTGGCATTAATGTTTGACAGTGCGGACATATCTACATCGCTCTGGTTGTTATATGTGTAAAAGAGGGATCTGGGTGAGAGTGGTTTTTCCATCTATGATTCTAAGACTAGACAATATCTAATGGCCCTGGCAGTTTAAAAAGTGTGTGGTTATTTTTGCATGAATCTTCGGAACCTGATGCATGAGAATACCCTTGTATTATAAGGAAATGTTCCTGTGCTCTCTCAAACCTGCATTGTGCAATGAATTGGCCTTTCTTTCTTCTATAGTTCCATGCATCCTCTACTTAGACAGGCTTTTCCTCACCACAGTCTCTGGACTGGTTTAGGGGTTTCATCCATGTGTGTTCTCATCCTCCTTGGAGTTCTTGCAGTAGAAAACTTGGCACCCTTTAGCAATTGCTCACTTAACTGTTTCTCCCCTCAGATACCCTGTAAGCTCCATGAGGATGGGTCACATCCGCTTCATTTCTTGCTGTGTTCCAGAATCTAATTTCATGCTTGGTAGATAATTGATACTCAAGAAATAGTCATTATGGGGACCAGCAGTTAACGTAATGGCTATGTCACTGGACTCCCACATAGTCAACCGCTATTCACGTCCCGGACCAGGTGACTTAAACTCATGCCAGGTGCATGTGTGTGTGTGCCCAAGCTCCCGAGAGGAGAATGGAGGAGAAGGGATTGTGGCGTGTCCATCCCCTCTGGGGGGTGATTTCTTGCTTTCTATCTCTCTGTCTCTCTCTGTCTGTCTGGCGAGCGCATGCGCCCTGTAGCAAAAACCTCTCCAAAAAAAAAAAAAAGAAAAAAAAGAAAAAAGAAAATGGAAATAGTCATTATGGAATGGAAGCAATCCCTGTCATTTTCACACTTTTCTTTTGAGTTCGGTGTGAAGTGTGTGTGTGTGTGTGTGTGTGTGTGCGTGCACGCATGTGTGCATTAGAAAACTACAGTCTGATGGGCTGGCAGATGGCAAGGAGGTTAAGGCACTGTATCCTACATGGCTGATTAGGTGATTTGAGTGACTTGCAAGACTTTTCTGTGTCTTTTCCAGTGCTGTCTGGAATTGTTTATTGACCACTCCTTTCAAGTCATTTGTCTGCACCTCCCAGGTCATGGTTTTCATCATCTTCCAGATTTGGCAGACGTGCTGATGCTGAGCATGAGGTCCTCTGTATCTGATGGTTGTCTTTTTTAGTAAGCCCAACACAGAAGAGATGAAGCAAATAACCATTGGTAGTCTTGGGATCAATGTGAGCTTCAATCATGGTCTGGCATTTTTTTGACCATGGACCACATTTGTCATGGGTAAGATCCATGTGTGGAAGCTAGGAAGTGTTTGTCCTGAACATCCATAATAATTAGCTTGAACTTCTTAAATGCAACTTCATCACTCCTAGAAAATGTATCAATGGCTTTTCTTTTTGGGTCTCTTTTTGCCACCTTTTGTAAGGCACTTGTTCTTGCCAACCATCAAGGTGCTACTCAGAGAGCCAACAGATTTGTGTTTGTTAAATTAAATTTTTTTTTTTTTTTTTTACTGGTCTTTCTTGTGCTGTATGAAGTATATAGAGTTTGATTGTGTTGAAAGTTGTCGAAATCTGTGATTTGCAAGTCCTACTACTAGCAGGACACTAACTGGGTGAACTTCCCCAACATTGCTTGAAGGAGGCAGAACCTCGTGAACTGTTTTTGTTTTCATGGATGCCTTTTATAAAATGACCAGCTTAGAAGAGAGTGACTTCTCAGAATCACTAAGGAGCAGAGCTGGATGTTTTTTTTTTTTTTTTTAAAGAGGTCTATTCAGATCTCACTCTGTAGATGACGAAGCTGGGACATAGACTGGGGAAGGGCTTTGCTAAAGGTCATCACCTGGAGAAGGAACCATGGTGGCACCAACACCCAGGTTGTACCCACCAGGGATAATTTCACAGCGAGGAAGTGATCTAATTTCGATGATTCATTTCCTCCAGAAAACTTTTGCAGCTGGAAGGAACAGTTTCTTGTCCTATTTCTAAATTCCTGTGTGCTTGGTTACTTGTATTAATACTTCATTAATCTCATTTGGCATTTGATACTTTATTTCATCTCCTGGAAACTTTAGAACTATTACAGAGGTGATATTATTTCTTTTTCTTACAATGATGATTATTGCAATTTTCCTTCAAGATGGAAACAAAGGAATATAAAAGTGGTAACTGGCAGAATGAGGTCTATAATGTAAATCTGCAGGGTGTTTCTCTGCCACGCTAAACTGCCTGCTCCCTTTTGTGAAATATTAATTTTTAATCAGGTGACTAATACAGAAACACTCTTGGTAAAGAAAATTTAAATGTTATAAAACTGAAATTCTTTTGTCTACTATACTCAGTCCCAGGCCCTTTTGTCTGATCATGGAAAGTAACAGGCACAGGAGTTTAGTGTCTGTCTCACTAGACACTTAACTATGCATTTATTTTTATACAACTGAGAAAGAAAAAAAAAGCTGTTTATTTTACAAAAAAAGTTTTATATTTTATATCTTGTTTTAGAAATTTGCCCTTTTCGTATATTAATATGGGTTTGAATTTTCATGTCGATTCATGTAGGCTATCTAATACTATTAATCTGCATAGAACTTTATAGAATAAAGATACCACAATTTGGCCAGTCTCCATATTTACTTTGTCCATTTCATTTACATAGATATGGAGGCTGCAATAAATATTTACAAATGGGCATGCTTGTGTACATGTGTTTTTCTAGAATACATAAATTTGAAATTGCTAAGACATAGCTAGGACACATGCATATTGAATGTTAATAGAAACTACCAAATGGCCCCAATGGTGTAGCTATAAAAATTTACACCCCCATTTCATTCCAATTTATCCTAGGGGTCTAGGTCCTTCCCTAGGTCCCTCCCAACAGTGTCTGGAGCCCAGTCAACTCACAATAAATACTTGATATTAATGGAATTCTACATTTTGGTCAATCTAATGGGTGAAATTTATTGGCTGCCTGTATTTCTTCTTTGATGAACTGCCTATTATGTCCTTTGCCATTTTTTTTTTTCCCTATTGGCTCTTTCCTTTTTGAGTAATAGGATGCTCTCTTAAATACTGCGATACCTGGGAAAATAGATTGTAAAATCTCTACTTGAAATAATTCTTACACATTTTTTTAATTAATTTACCAAATATTCATAGTAACAAGCTCACATTTTAGTAGCTACTAGTTTTAGGCACCTGTATTGCATGAAAGTGAAGACAGTGAATATCTTACTTTACACCCAATTTTATTGGGGGAGCCGACATACTTCCCAAAGCATTTATAATCTGTGAAACATTTCTACTGTGGCAAAATGAAAAGACGGGGAAGGCCATAGGCTGGTTCAAAATGAGAATGACCTTTTCAAAGAGCTAAATGTGAAAACTTGGGATGCACTTGATTTTGCGTACCCTCTGGTGGCTGTGAGGGCTCATGCACACCTTTGAGGAAGACCTTATTGTTCCTAACAGCTGAGGCAAGGAATGGACAATCTCACAGGAAGGTACCTTAGAGAGATGAATGAGCAGGGACTTGAGTACTCAAGGGAGCAGGTTGTAATCCTAATAGTCTGGATCTACAAGCTCTCCAGCTCTCACTTTGATAGTGTTTGGAGAGAAGGGAGATTAGAATAATTGTTGATGCTCAGTTAAACCAATGGACTTCATATTTGCATAGTGAAAATGTTTCCCAGATTATCATAGATGGAACAATCTTTGAAGAGCTTGTTTTGTGGTTTTCAAACACTGAGTGGCCAACAACATCAACTAACTTGGAGAACTTGATTAGTGTAGCTATCCATAAGCCTTGGCCTCAGATATTTGAATTCAGGTATGGGTAATAAAATACATTTTTAAAAAATTGCCAGAGAGCATGTGCACTCAACAGAGAAAGAGAGAGAGACTGAAAGAGAGGAAGAGGGAGAAGGAGAAAGTACCCCCCCGGAGGCAAGGTCATACCATGGTCTTTTCTCTTCCATTGCTCCATTTGTCAAAATTGTGGGCACACTCATGTCTTCCTGTGTTTTTCAAGTTTCCAGGGTCTAGGTTAGAACCATAGCGCACCATGTGGGATCTGACTCCTTTAACTACTACCCGACAAGACCAACCCAAGGTCAGAGCATTTAAATTAGCATAAGGATCTTACTGTGGAGATGAGCCTAGAGACTCAAATGGCCAACAGTCTCCATGTGGGGGACAGAAGCATGTGGAGTTAGGAGCTCAATGTCACTAATGCTGAGCCCAACAAGGTTGGGTCAAAGTAGTCCAAAGAAATACATAGATTACAACACTCTCTACCTTTCTGGAAACAACTATTTGCACAACTGTGTAGCAATCTGAGCGATTTTAAAATTGCATAACCTAGTTTTCTCATGTTTTCCTTTCAGCAGCAGCCTCATCAGAGATTGCCGTGATGGCATATTTGGGTCAGCCAGCGACTTTGCCCTGCGTGTACTCATCCTGGTCTCAGAGCAGCAACAGCATGTGCTGGGGCAAAGGCCCCTGCCCAAATTCCAAATGCAACGAAGAGCTTATCCACACCTCAGGAACGGTGGTGATGTCAAGAAATTCATTCAAATATAAGCTTCGGGGGAATATCCTTGGAGGGGATGTCTCCCTGACCATCTTAAATACCAACGAAGGGGATGGCGGTGTGTACTGCTGCCGTATAGAGGTGCCTGGCTGGTTCAATGATGTGAAGAAGAACATTCGCCTACAGCTAAGGAGTGGTGAGCATGGGGCATGGAGAGTGATAGTGGAAGGAAAGATTTGATAATTAATGGGCAATGGGTTCAGTGAATGGTGAATAGCATGTAGTTGCCTAAGGAGTGAGTGGGAAGGTTAAATTCAAAATGTCATCAGCTATGATATGGAGCAGGTAAGTAAGCTCAAATACCCATGGAAGTCAAGACTTCCACAGAAATAAGTGAGCAGAGACGGGGAGGAAGAAGGGAACCAGTAAATTGCAGGCTCAATCTGAAGAGAACAGCTGCCACTTATCGAGGAAATTGTCACCTTGCAGAAATTTGGGTGCAGTTTTCCGATCTTTCAAATTTTATGTGAGGTATATTAATTTTTGCATTTTGAAAAAATTTCAAAATAACAACAACAACAAACACTGTGTGAACTAAATAAAATGTGTCCATGGGTCAGCTTTAGCCTGAGAACCAGCATTTGCGACCTCTGGCAGAAGGGAGAGGACCTGGGATTTGGAGTCAGCCATAACAGTTTCCAGGTGTCTTCTTTTCTGTTCCTATGCTTTTGTTGAAATATGAGTATCCTGGGATGCTGGAAGATTGGAGCTCACAGACTGAATTCATTGAGCCTATGGTTGGATTATGCTAATAAGGATCATCTTTAGTGTTTTTCTGGGACTCAGTGTGTCATCATGAGCTCTATATTCCACCTGCATCAGCATTATCTGGAGAATCCTCGGCCTCTATCCTGGACTAGATGGAGACCTTGGAAGGCAGGGTTCATAGATAGCTAAATCCTTAAGCTTCTCTGGTGAGTCTTCTACTGTCTGAACAACTGATATGGATGCTTCTAATTGCAAGAATTTCATACATATTAGTGTATTGTTTTCTCTTATAGCAACTTTGTGAGATAGAGGTATTATTCTGATTTTGTAGAAGATAAAAAAGAGATTTATTGAAGTTAAACGACTCCTAACCAAACCTCCTCTTTTTGATCCTTGTCTATTTAAAAAATACTGTTGACATCAGAATGTGATAGGGTTATCTCCAAGTTCATGGAGAACAAATCTTAACTTTCTGGTCCATCAGAGTCAATGGAAATTTGACATATTATAGAGAGAGTGAGATCTGTGGAATAAACTGTGGCCAAGGGAACCAAATTCAGGTGTTTAGGAGGTCAGTGACATTGGCATGAACACATGTTTACTATCTGAAAGAGACTGTGTTCTCACCCTCCATTACATACTTTGGGCTCATCTTTGATGCAGTTGTTCATTCATTTGTGCCATTTTGGGAGCTCCAGACACGGATGGGTACCGGATTTGTAGCAGAGAACAAAGTAAATACCAGATTTGTCTCTCATGATAGTTACAGTCTAGTGGGAAAAGTGGCCATTAAACAATAATAAGCATGTAGTTATAAAAATGCAATAAATTCTGTGAAACAAGGTATGAGAGCACAGAGTGGACAAGCCTAATCATTATTGTAAAATCTGGATGGCCTCCTGGCAGAAGTGATCTTCTAGCTGAGATGTGAGGATTAAGTAGAAATCTAGATATCAGCCTGTTGAAGAGCAAAAATAGGAAGCTGCAGGTACAAAAGTTTATGACTGGAAGGTCACCAATGTGTTCAATGAACCAAAGAAAGGCCAGTTGACTGAAGAAAAAAGAGAAGTTTGAAGACACAAGTTTGGAAAGAAAGACAGGACCTCTAGATGTAGCCTTGCAGGCTAAGGTGCAGGACTGGATTCTTTCTTTGTAAAAAAAAAAATTTTTTTTTTTAAATCTTAAGAGCAAGGAAGGCGGACAGCAGGTGGCGTGATGGTTGAAGTGCTGGACTTCCACATGGTCAATGACTGTTCAAGTCCCTGACCCAGCAGGTTACCCTGGGCATGTGTGTGTATGTGCCCAAAATCCCAAGAGGAGAATGGAGGAGGTGAAATTGCTGTGTGGCCATCTCCCTGGGGGTGGGGGGTGATTTCTCACTTTTTGTCTCTGTCTCTCTGGTGAGCACACATGCCCTCTAGCAAAAACCTCTCAAAAGAAGAAAAAGAAAAGCAAGGTATGCCCAGTACATTTTTTCAGTGGGAGATTGGCATAATTGGATTTTATTTTATTTATTGATTTTTTTTTTTTGCTAGAGGGCATGTGCACTTGCTAAAGAGAGACAAAGAGAAGGAGAAATCATCCCCTCCATGGGGTATGATCATGCCACAATCTCTTCTCCTCCGTATCTCCCTCCTTTCAGGATTTTGGACACACACACACACATGCCCTCAGTATGTTTCTCAAGCTGCTAGGTCCAGGACTTGAAAGACAAGGTCAGTCATGTTGGATCTAGTTGCCTTAATTACCATGCCATGGAGTCAGCCCTAGATTTGCCATTTTATAAGATTAATCCAGTCTGAACCAGCAGGTGGTATAGTGGTTAAAAAGCTGGAACCTATAGGGCTGACTCTGTAGTTCAAGTCCTGGATCCAGTGGCTTAAAATATACATCAGGCAAGTGTGCATGCACGTGGGCCTAAAATCCTAAGAAGAGGATGGAGAAGAAGAGACTGTGGCATGGTCATTCCACTGGGGGGTGATTTCTCATTTTCCCTCTTTATCTCTCTCTCTGGCCAGTGCATGAGCCCTATGTTTAAATAAATAAATAAATAAATAAATAACTCCAGCCAATGAGTGTAGACTGAAAGGAACAGGAGTAGAAGCAAGAGATCCAGTTTTGGTGGGTATTACAATGGCCAGATGAGGGTCTATAGAATTGGAGAGAAGTGAGTGGATCTCAGAAGAGAAGACTTCAAAAAGTTCACCATGGAATAATGGAGTTAGTGCAAGTTTATTTACTTTTTTTTTTAAATAGATTTTTGTTATATGGCACAAGCACTCACTAAGGAGGGAGGGAGGGAGGGAGGGAGGGAGGGAGAGAGAGAGAGAAAGAGAGAGAGAGAGAGAGAGAGAGAGAGAGAGAAGTAAAGTAAGAAATCAACCCCGGGGGGGCATGATCACACTGCAATCCCTTCTCCATTCTGCTGTTGGGATTTTGGGTATTCTCTCACATATGTCCAGCCTATTTTTCATGCCGCCGAGTCTGGGACTTGAACCAGACAGTTGCCTATGTGGGATCCATCCACCTTAACCACCACATCACTTGGCAGGCCTAAAGGAGCAAGTTTATTTTGGTGTAAAAAATTTTTGAAACCCATGCATAGTCTTCATTATATGCATTTTCCATGAACTCTTTGAAATTCTCTGGTATTTTGTGTCATTTCCCTTTTTCTCCACCTCCATTTGGTATCAGACATGTCTTCTATTGGTTACAGCCCCAACCACCCCTGACCCAACAACAACCTGGCACCTGACAACAACCCTACGCCCAACAACAACCCTACACCCGACCACCAGCCCTTATGAGACAACTGTAGCTGCACTTCCAACCACAACCACGACTGTTCCTGACCTCATAACCACAACACTGCCTGAGACAAGAACCAGTACTGCCCTCACCACGATGATGACCACATGCCCTCTGACAGTTCCGAGCTCCATTCCTGAAGCAGCTTCAAGTCTTCTGACCACTGAGCCCTCTACGGAAGATCCCATCCTCACTGCAGGTGCACAACACAATTGACCATTCCATCCTTTCTTCTGTCAGCTGTGTCTTGGGTTCCTCATAAAAGAGTTTACCCACTGAATGAGACAGCTCAGTTACTTGCTCTGGGGTGTGTGTGTGTGTGTGTGTGTGTGTGTGTGTGTGTATGTGTGTGTATGTGTATGTGTTAGTTTGCTAGGCCTATCATAACAGAAACTACAAACAGTGGATTAAACAATAGAAGTTTACTTTTTTCATAGTTCTGGGTGCTAGAAGTCCATGGTCAAGGTGTAATTAGGGTTGGCTTATGTCCTATTTCCTTATCTTGTGAAGACCCGTGTCTTCACTTGGTCTTCCATGCTGTCTGCCCTGCTCAGTCCTAATGTCCCTTTATAAGGCTACCATTCATATTGGATTAGGGCCCATCTAGATGACTTTATTTTACCTAAATTATCTCTTTAAAGACCCTATCTCAAAATACAGACATTTTCTGAGGAACTGTGGGTTAGTGCTTCAATATGAATTTGAGAGGAAGATAGTTAGCCCACAGCAGTGTGTGTGTGTGTGTGTGTGTGTGTGTGTGTGTGCAGTTTCATGAAATAATTTCTTTAAAGTTTTTTTTTTTTTAAATTTTCAGAAGGCATATGCACTCATGCATATACACGTGCGTGAGAGAACCCCCCCAATGGGATGTGTTCCAGCACAATCTCTTCTCCTCCATCCCATCAAGATTTTGGGCACTTCTACACACCTCTGATGTGTTTTTCAAATTGTTGGCCATGTGGGATATGCTCCTTAACTATGAGGCCACAGGGCCCGTCCTAAATTATTCTTTTTGTTTTATGGTTTTCTTTTTCCTTTATGATTTTGAAAAGTCAGCATTTTGGGGAACTAGCAGTTAGCATAATGGCTATGTCGCTGGACTCCCATGTAGTTGACCACGGTTCGAGTTCCAGACCCGGTGGCTTAAAACTCACGCTGGGCGCGTGTGCGTGTATGCCCAAGATCCCGAGAGGAGAATGGAGGAGAAGGGATTGCGGCGTGACCATCCCCCCTGGGGGGGGATTTCTCGCTTACTGTCTCTTTGTCTCTCTCTGTCTGTCTGGCGAGCGCACGTGCCCTATAGTGAAAACCTCTCCAAAAAAAAAAAGTCAGCATTTTGGTCTTCCAGCTGACCTCCTAGGAGTCTTGCAGTTCTTTATTGAAGAACCAAGAAAGGTCATTCTGGGTCAGACTTCAGTTCCATTCTTTTGGAGTTAAGTCTCTGGCCAGGCATTAGAAACTGGTTGAAGGAAGACCTCTTGACACTACACAGTATCCTTTGGTAGTAACTGGTTCTGTCCTTGTTTATTGTTTTCCTGAATTCTTCTCTACCTGTTACTAAGTGACTGTCACCATTGATTTGGGGGAGTAGGGTGAGCCTCCAAGGCTCTCACCATATTTCAACCCCTGATTCTGAGGTATGAATATCGCAAAGCAAACATGAGATTGCTTGAAGGCTTTCTTAGGCTTTTTGGCTGCCTCAATAAAGCCTGGATAGTTCATTATAACATTGAACTGAGTAATTCTAATATTTTCTGAGTAGTTACTTAAGATTCATGAACTGTAAACTAATCAGTTTTTGTATGTATTTTTTATTCCTTTGGGTTTTAGAATAATCATCTTAAAATATAATATTTATGGTTTCTTTTTCTGGATTCTAAAAGTTATCTGAAATCATTAAAAAACAAAAACAAAGAAAAACAAAAAAAATAAACCCTGAAGTACACAGAGGAACGTACAGATGACTGCAAAAATAACCTCAAATCCCAGCACTTACCACAAACACAGTTAAGACTTTTATATTTTAGCTGTTTTTTATCAGACCTTTTTGTCTTCCAGAATCAGAAACGTTCCTGCTCTCTAGTGACTCCCAGAGAACCACAGCGGCTACTTCTGTAGACACTGCCTTACTCACATCCAAAGGTGGGCAAACACTCATGTTCTCTTATCTTCCCTCCCTCCTTGGATGGAGAAGAGGGAAATTAACAGAAATGTAGTTGGTCAGATGACACAAAATTACGTTGGGACCTCTCTGCAGTGAAGCCTACCTGGGACAAGCTGGCATCAGGGCAGCCTTGGTGGTTTGTTTATCCTTGTGGCTCTCAGAGAGAGATTGGGGACAGAGAAGAAAGAAAGAGAGAGGAAGAGAGAGCAAGCAGAGTGAGCTTCACTCGGTTCGTGCAGTTCCTCAAGGTCATACGTGTTGTATCTGTAGCATTTTTGCCTTCCCACTCTAGGCGATGTGACACAGCAGTCTCATTCTAATTCCAAGCATACTAATCTTTTTGTTGAAATTCCTGAGGGGAGTACTCACTCAATGCACTGGCTTTTTATAGTGGAGGGAGAACTCTTTCATTTATTTGTCCTTTCATCCATCAATCAAACCTTCTTTAGTTATTTATTAGGGACGAAGGGCAGAGAATGTCCTAAAAGTAAGACACGATTCGCATCCTTGGAAACTGCTTGGGCTTGACTCTGAATTCTACTATTATTTTTCTGGGGTATTTTTAAAAAATTATTTAATTTTATTTATTCATTCATTTATTAATTTGACCAGAGAGAGACACAGAGAGAAAGAAGGAAAGTGAGGAAGCAAGCCACCAGGTCTGGGACTTGAATCATGGTTGGCCATGTGGGAGTGTCTAGCGCCTTAACCACCACACCACCTGCTGGTCCCTATTTTTTTGTTTTTTTTTCTTTTTGGAGGAGTCCTCTGGCCTCAATTATCCAAGGTTTGTTGTAAAGTTGAATAACTTATTGCACATAAATGACTTAAATGAATATTTGGCTCATTAATAAGCACTCAAATGGTAGCTGTTACCTGAATGAAGCTACTAGATAAAAACAGACATCCATTGCATATGTGAATCAGTATTTGTAAGAGAA